AATGTTTTATAACAACCAAGGAATAATTTGTTTCTATTTAATAAGGAGTGTTTACTGAAAAAAAAAACAGTCACTATTGATCGACTTGTATAACTGATAATGCTATTATCCAACACATGATCCATAATGAAGATTCACATATTGCGATATTATGAAACATATTGCGAACGCAATTATATTTAAATATACCTTTTACATATTATCTTCTCTGCTAGCTTGGCAGAATCAGGTATTGGCACATATTTACGCTGATATCTAACGATATATAAATAGATTTACCGAACTTTCCCGGCTCGGAGTTGGCTAGCCGATTTATTACAGTAGCCTGGATGAGGAAATGGGCATTGGATTTGAACTGTGAACCTACGATACCAACAAGTCTAGCGATTTGAACACTACAGGCTAACGCACTCACTCTGATGGAGATATCAATAACATTTTATGAGTTGTATTCTTTTTCATGAGGAGTAGGGATGAGTAGAATCAGTCTGTGCCTCATTGATGTGCATCACGTAGTAATAACGATTTGATGTTAATATACATGTTATTGCTGCCATATGCGCATCAATGTGCGTTCAAAAGCATCATGCTATAAATTAGAAACAAGCAGGACAGAGTACTAAAAATTTAACAAGTCGTCACTATACTAATTCTGCAAGAGATGAGAGTTTCCGTGAAATGCACTTGGAAATGGAGTTCAATTTGACGTTTTAATTCGTACTATTAAATCCAGTAGCAAACTAGTAACTTTTTCGATTGTACATAGCCTAACTCGGAGCTATGTTAAAATGGGATTTTTACTATAACAAGTGATGGTCCTTTTGCACTTTACTTTACATATTCTGTTTCTACGAAATCAATTATGATTCATGTTTATGAAATGGGAGTATTTTATTGCGTGTATACATATTAATGTCATTATTCCAATCGGATAATACATACACGTAATTGGGAAATATTTTAAGCAGAAAACCGTGTTAACTGTAGAAGCATGTTTGGTAAAAATTCAACAAAAGTAGAATTGTACCACACGCATCAACCTTGTTACATATTAGCTTTTTATTCATACTCTCATAGGCGATTTAAAAAAAGAGTGGGGTAAGGCTTCGGGGATGAAAAAGCTAAACCATGAGCTGTATTGCAACCATCGCATTATAAACTGTTTACTGTAATAGCCTACTAATATCCATTTTCTAAATATACCGATTATGAAATATTTCCAATTACTTTTACATAATATCGGATTTGAATATTAACAATTTCATTCATTATTTTATTATTAATTATTACCGAAATAAATACTCCCATCACACAGATAAAGATGTATTGTATGAAGCATGTAGGTCATAATTAATTTTGAGAATGGAAGTGTGGGACGACTGATGAGACTTCAATTTTATAGTTTTTTTGTTCAGAAAATTAACCTCTTTTTCAGGGGTCTTTCCACTACTTTGATGAAAAAATGATCTATATAAATAAAAGTTTCTTCAGACAATTATCTTTTTTTCCCAGGGGTCTTTTCACAGCTTTGTTGAAAGAAGATCTGCATGAGGAAAATGATCTTTTTTTTCTTAGGGGTCTTTCCACAACGTAAAATGATCTGTATAAATAAAAGTTTTTTCAAAAAAAATTTTTTTTTTTCAGGGGTCTTTCCGTACCCATGTTACAAAAACGATCTGTATAAATAAACTGTTTACTAGTTTGTTACAGGGTTTTAAGGACCGGTTACCCCAAGGCCGGATTTTGACAATGTTAGGCCCTAGACTAGACTGTGCCATTTTAGAGACCCATTTAATATAATTACGTCATAGATGCGCTATAGGTAGTTACCTATTTTGTTTCATAAGTTAATCGCTTGAGTTTTATCAAATTTGAACAAATTCATTCACCCCGCGGTGTTTTGATTTTTTTAGTCTTTTCAACATAAAATATTTGAGTCAAGAATTATTAACCGGGATGGAGAAGCCTTTAAAATCAAAAAAAAAAATCAATTAACAATCAAAATTTGGGTGGTCATAGTTTGGAAATTAGTGATAATTTTTGAGTAGTTCATTATTGTGGCATATTGATGAATCAACTTTTAATTGTTACATTAAATGTTTACACTCGAGTGCGCACTACACAGAAGTTTTTATTTATATAATATCAATAATTTTTTGAACTAGTTGTTGGGCACAACAACAAATAATGTGCATGTCTCTCATTGTGACTCCAATTTAGCAAGACCCATCTTTAGCTCCCAACCGACGATTTTCTGATTTGACGTACTCGTCTCATAAGTTATGGAACTGGGAAGCAAAATATTTTAAAGAATTCCGTGATCGAAGAAACTTGTAGAAATGATCTGCTGATAAAAATCCCTTTGCATAATATGCCAACAGCCACAAGGGCGAAGGTGGGATGCAACCATGCTCATCAAAAAATGAAATGAATGTGAATACCAGTCCACTGTGACTATAACACAATGAAATCAATTTATCAAAATTTCGGAGCTCCCAAAGTATGTGTGCCAAGATGACGCACAACCTGAACATGGTATGTGTACTAGAGATGAACCGATGTATCGGTATCGGGTATGGGCCGTATCGGCCAATTTTTCGGTATCGATAGTGTATCGGTATCGGCTAGATGAAGACCGATATTTCCGATATGTTTACCTTTTTGATATGATCCAGAATGTTCTAAAAAATAAGTTGGAATACTGATGTCTGAATTATTTTTTGTTGGAGGAATCGTGGACTATGAGCCATGCACGTCCCCACCCCCGCGAGTAGAAACGAGAATAGGATTCTGACCTTAGAATAGGATTCTTAGTTTTTTATTAGCCAAGCGCTCAACCGATATCCGATATTCTTATAACCACAAAAAAACGATGTTCGAAGGTCGCGGTATTAATATTAAATCCGAATTGCACATCCCTGGCTATGAGTTTTCCAATTGAATACGGAGATTACTAGCTTCAGTACACGATGCATCTAAATTAATTAAGGCAACGTATCCCAAACATCAATTTCGTATGATGTATTATAATCCCTTTTTCAATCTGAATTAATGTGCACTATGAATAATGCTTAAAGACTATAGTGTTTTAACCCGTCTCCCTCTCACACTTGAGATAATATTAAAATAGTATCGGAATATCGGCGATATCGGTCGTTTTCCAATATCGACATATCGGTATCGGCGTTTTTAATCGGTATCGGTACATCTCTAAATTGTGTACCAGGATAGGATTCAGGTTGTGCGCCATCTTGGTACGCATACTTCGGGAGCGCAAAAATGTCTTCATAGTCTGCATCTGAGGCAACGAGTTGGTGGTTTAATTTTTATTCGGGAATTAGCAAAATTGGAAAATAAGGACGATAAAATATAAACTCACATAATTCAAGAACAATCGACACAGTAGTAAAAAAGAGCCTTTTTTGTTCCAACCAGGTCAATAACAGTGTCAAATAATAAGTATTTGTTATTCTACGAATATTCATTCTACAATCGGATAAACATGATTTCAAGTAGGTATCAACCCCCCTCAAATGTGGCGTACCTGTGTTTGGGCGAAGGTAGGTATCACAACAGGCAATTTACCGGAAGTGTAGACTAGTTACAGTAACCTCAATAACAAGATACTCGGCTAACCGAGCTAGGTCAGGTTGGGAAAACAGTCAACCTGTACTACAAATATCATTTTACAACTACAACTATCCAGATTTACAGCAAGAATAAGCTCATAGACGAGAAAATTCCACTCCATCGGCAGTTGCAAGTTATTGACGAAACAGCTAACACTGATCAATGGAAACAGAACCGATAAAAATTATTTACGACCTAATTTAAATTGGAATAAATTCTGGGCAAATTATATTCCCAGAAAATATCAGGTTTTTAGTTGGAAGATTTTACACAGTGGGCTTCCAACTGGAGAAAAAGTCAGACATTGGGATTGGGCTGATAAAACAAATGGCAATTGTGTATTTTGTAACAGAGTGATAGAAGATTCCGTGCATTTGTTTTTTTATTGTTATTATAAAAACTCTATTTGGAAATGGCTAAATTTATCAAATTATACTGAGCATAGTATTTTTACATAAGAGGTTGAAACAAAATCATTAAATCTAATTACCAGTAAATCTAGTGGTAAAGCAGCAATTTTGAATTTTAGAAATGACAAGGAAATTCCACGCCATTGGCAGTTGCAAGTCCTTGACAAACCAGCTAGCACTAACGATGAAAAATATCTCTAAACTTAATTTTCGACCTAGTTTTAATTGGAATAAATTCTGGGCAAATTATATTCCCAGAAAATATCAGGTTTTTAGTTGGAAGATTTTACAATATGGGCTTCCAACGGAAGAAAATATGAGACATTGGGATTGGGCTGGTGAAACAAATGGCAATTGTTTATTTTGTAACAGAGTGATAAAAGATTCTGTGCATTTATTTTTTCCTTGTTATTATGAAAAATCTTGTTGGAAATGGCTAAATTTATCAAATTATACAGAGCATGGTATTTTTACATGATAAAGCGAATATACAACCGTTAGGTGTCAACGAGTGAAAACGACATATGTTGTATGGTGGCGGTCCCTTCGAAATGTGCCGTAAAACCTCTATTTCACCGCCATATCGCTCTATTTTTTAACTCTTCCACTATAGTCAGATAGTGATACCATGGTACTGGTGTTCGTTCTATTACGGTACATACAGGTGACGCTCAAATAGAGGTTTTACGGTATTTCCCGTTTCCCGATACGCACAGTCTGACAGTTCTGCAGTTTCAGTTTTCTGTTATTCCAGTACCGGTATTCTGCAATTTGAACAGTGATTTCTCGGGCCAGAAGTTATCGTGTTATTGCTTTTTTGACACAGACACGGTACATATGTGAGCTATGGTACCGTAACTTCACTAGTCTAACCTTTAATTGCACAGGCGTTTAACATTTGTGACCTTACGGTACGGTACTTTGCCATCCTGCCATCGGAAACATTCAGATATATTTTCTATTTCAGTATTTGATAGATCAGGAAACAGGGTAATAATGAAATAAAATATATTTAGCTTTGATGTTAAAATAATTAGGTCTGAAGCGTTTTGCACAGATGGACGAGAATAACTTGGACTTGCTTTGTGCTATAGAAGTTGATGATGGATTGGAAGGACGATTGAAAGATCGAGGAATTTCAAGGAGAAATGTACGCAGCATAATTCATGAGCTGTTCACCAATGAGAGCGTTTTAAAGTTATTAGAAACGGAAGACGTAGAACCTGAACTGGATTTTACAGATGCTCCAGTCACAAGGTCGAAAAGGCCACGAACCGAGTTTAATGAAGAATTCAACTATTTGGATTTGAGCACCGGTAGTATTGAATTTCATAAACTCAATAATGACAATGAAATAACCCAAAATGAGAATTCTCTTATTTGTTGCAATGATGACACCTTTGATTCAACTCGTGATATCCATATTGAAGGTTATGATGATGATGGAAAGTTTAACTGGCAGACGTGGTTGACAGGGCTTGAAAATACTGAAAAGGATACTTCTGAAAAACGGGATGAATATGATTCCGAAGAAGATCCAGACTTCAATTTCTTGGCGGAAGCAGAGGAATTTGATGTTGAAGATTTTAGGGATGACTGTGTTACAAGAATATCTAAACGAGAGCTAAGGAGTCTAAACCTGCGGAAACGGTCAACTGCAAGAAAGAAGAATACTGCTTTTAATGAAAATTCGACTGGAAATGAGATTTCTTCAACGGACAAAATTTGTAGTCTAAATATTGATGATTATAAAAAATGTAAAACTGTGCGTGAGAAGTTGATGATATTGCGATGTAATCCAAAGTTGAAAAGCTCTATTATTACAACAAGATCCAAGCGAGTAAAAGCACAAAAAAGAGACTTGAGTTTCACTATACAGCAAAAAGAAAACCTTTTGCAGCAAATGCAACAACATGTACAGCTTCTTACTCAAGTTTGTTTATTGGAGCAATATAGCATTGAAACTTTTCATAATTCACGAATGCTATTGTATGAAATTGATTATTTTCGCCAGAATAGTTTCGACTCTCAAAAGACTCAATTCAATATACCTTGTCTGTCCGATGCACTAAGCATTGTTCAGCAAATATCTTCATCTACAAAGCTTACTACTTGCAAAGATAATTTTGACAGAGAAATGAAAATCATTGCTAACAGTAATGTTTTCATGTATAAAGAGTTACTTCCTGCCATTGTAGGTGATAAACAATTACATAATGGAAAAAGGCCTTTTTCATTTCATGATGATTGTTTAATCGCCCGTGGAATACATGAAATGTCTGGGAATTTTATTCTTACTACTTCAGAACTTATCTCACGATTTATGCTTCCATGTCGTACAAGTAAAGAAATAAAAGCACATATCAACTATTTCAGTTCAATTCAAAGTGTTAAAAACGCTACAAACCCTATTGTGCAATATAAAGCATTTAAAGTGCTTCCCGAACCCGCTGACACAATCATTCCAGTACTGCCTTACGACGCTAAATCACCAATGCAAATGGATGGAGACCTTCCTGAATGGCTGACTTCACTTCAGCAGGGTTCATCTTCTCAAATTTTTGAAAACGGTAGTTACGAATTGGATGTGAATTCCACTGAGACTGAAATTGTTAATCGATTAATTACACACAATTTTAAGAGAATAAAACCTGTGAAAGTGTCAAAAAATTGGACTAGAAAATTGGATGAATTGATTCTTACGACCTGTAAATGTCATGATGGTGCAACAAAAGGAGCATTAGATATTCTTGCACGTGATATCCCAACCAAGACAAAGAGTCAAATTAGGAGACGGTTTTACAAATTGTTATCAATATTTCATAAGTCCGTGGTCAAATCGTAAAATCTTTCTAATTTGATCCTTTTTATTTTCGTTTTTCAATTCTTTATGATTTAACACTGTGCATTATCGATGTAATAGTCACTTATTTATTAGGTGGATACTTTGTGATTTATGTTGAAAAATGTATTTTACAGCTCCTATGCTAGCTATTTGGCAACGTTTTAGAATGGCAAAATTTTATGCCGTTTTTCGAGGCCGTAAAGCAGGTGTATACACAACATGGAACGATTGCAAAAAACAAGTTGATGGCTTTAAAGGGTGTATCTACAAAAGTTTTGCTGGAGAATCTGAAGCTAAGATATTCGCTAAAACTGGAGAAGTTGGATTAGCTGTAAATAAATTAGACAAGCCTTCCAGCTCAAACGTGTCTACAGCTGCTTGCTCGATAGACTCGAAAATATTGATGGATATTTTTGGAGATCCAAATGATGATGTATATTCCGATGAAGAAGGGCTTACAGTAAAATCAAAATCTGCCAAAAAAAGGAAATTGGATAGTTCAAAGAAAACCAAACAAGCCAAAGTTTTAAAAATAGATACAGGCTTAACATGCCATGGCTCTAACAAAAAAATTATCAATGATATGGCATTCAGCGTTGATGAAAAGTCAAACCCTGTTGTGTACACTGATGGTGCATGTTCCAATAATGGTAAAAAGAAGGCTGTCAGAGCTGGGTATGGCGTGTGGTGGGGTGAAAATCACCCTCTGAACATTAGTGCCCGATTGGAGGGAGTACAGACAAATCAAAGGGCAGAAATAGCCGCAGCCAATGCTTGTATTAAACAGGCTGTCGATAAAGGACTCAAATCCATAACCATAAGAACTGATTCTATGTTTATAATTAATTGTATAACAAAATGGGTACCTGGTTGGTTAAAGAAGAAGTGGATCAAAAGTGATGGTAAGCCTGTTGTGCATAAACCGGAATTTATGACAATGCTAACAAATTTGAAAAATGTAGATGTGAAATGGGAGCATGTTAGAGGACATCAAGGTATCTATGGCAATGAAATGGCAGACAGATTAGCTGTCAGGGGTGCCACAATGTAATTGGTGTCCTATTTGATTCCAAGACAACATCAGACAATTAAAAAAAAGCCTTTTGTCATGTTCACAGACATAAGATTATTTCCACAGCCAAATGTGTTTTATTCATTTGGAGACCTCCATCAAAACAAATGTGCTCCTGAGCAAATTCTCTACATCTCCATTTTGTTGGCCTTAATATGATTTTACCAATCAATCATTAATGTAAGGATAGGGGAGTCAATTTATAATATATGCAAGTTTGCATATAAATCTAATTTTCATAGGTACTGTCAAAATAGTATTCAATCTGACCTTTACACTTAAACAGTTTTGAGATAAGGAAACCCATTCTAGGAAGGAGGATGCTATTGCTGATATGAACTATATGCTGACCTACATTCAATCATGTTTCAATATCACAATTTTAATAATTTCGTGTAGATGTATTTTTTTAGTTTCGTTCGAATGCAACTTTCTTAGGATTATGACTTATTTTCTTATTATTTATTTCATTAAATGATGACAACTGCATTGCCAGGGATTTAGGGAGGATTTCTTGTTTTCAAAACCAGGTATGCGGTGTTGAGAGGAAATCACAAAGTACCTTATAGGATGTCAAAGTAAGTGTTGTGATTACGGTAATTAAAATTGGGTTGCTTCTAGGAATAACGATTTTCACATGAGGGAGAAGTTTCAAGTGCGACAATCTTGTACTGGTACGCGTTTGCTCTCATCTCCTACAACTCTCCAAATAATGGGCTGGGTCTAAGCGTTGTCTAGTTTTCAGCGCATGGATTCTCCCGCAGATTACTTGACTCGCGGGTGGGTTCACGGTCTTGTACCAGACCATACATAAGTGGGAAATTGCTATCCCAAAGGAACCACAAACAATGCCTACTGTCAATATGACATTCACCCTATTTCAACATTTACTTCTGCGTGGAAGTTCAGGAGACACCGCTTGTAACTGAAATTCGTTATGATCCGCAAAAGATTCAAACCAACATTGCAAAGGAGTCCCAAAGCAGTCGCAATTCCTGATCAACGGTTTGAAGTAGTTTTCATTAATTGCGAGCGATACCTTATTCAACAACCCTCGACTTGACCGAGAGCTGCTATCTTATTCCCACCACAAGTGTGTGAAGGGTTATGACTAAAAATAAAACAGCAAAATAGGCGGATAACTAACTATATGGTCCCATACTACCATGAGAATTTGAGAAATATTAATAGCCTCTTGCAACTGCATTCATCTTTAAGTATTAGGAATTGATCAAATTGAGTGTAGACCACTACTTGCGGAGAAGAGCGAATTAAGCATAGGTCCACTTGATGTGCAACAACAATGACTTGGATTTGGCAATAATCCTCACATATGATGTCACCATAACATTAGATACACAAAAATGAAATGTACAAATTGCGTATTTTATTTGAATATGGTACACAGGAACATTTAAGGGGTCTAAAGATGGGCAAGTCCGAACAAAAATCATTGATTACATATTTGGTTAATTGAAATGGGCACTCTGTACTAGTTGCTTTGCTAGTACTTTGTACTTTTGCTCCACAATCATTGCTTAAATAATGAAACACTTTTCTTAATGAGTCAGATATTAGGTGATATTTAAAGGAATACAGTTAGCCAAACCAAGCACTGAATCGAACTTTTGAAAATTATGGTTACAAATCTAAAAGATCAACCTCAGATGTATTTTTCATCAAAGCCTGCTTTACTCAAGGGAGATATGGTTTAATAGAGGCATAGCACTACACAAGGATAAAATGCCAAATTATATGAATGGAACTTTTTAAATTTAAGACTTTGGAACAAATGATAGAAAGCAGGGATGATCACAAAAACTTTAAAGGGGTTGAACTTAACAAGCATCAAATTAATAATACCCAAATACATATGAGACAAAAGCATTATATACAACAATAAATTATTATATCATCAATAGCTAGCTAGTGTACAACTGAACATTGGAAGAGGCCTTCTTTATCTATGTTATCATGACTCTAACTTGAATCTTACTATCACAACAAATTGTCATATCGAGTCTAGTCATATAAATCGTCATCATCGCCATCTTGGTATAAGTCACCAGCTCCTGTTGGACCTGTACCTCCTGCCCCAGTGTTGCTTCCAGACTGTTGGCTCCCTGGGAATTTGAAGCCCCCGAACCCTCTGCTTTGTTGTAAAGTTTGAGCAAACATCTCATACTTTCTAATGTCTTTGTCTGACACAGATCTTCTAGCAAACTTCATTGCTTCTTCAAAATGGCTCCTGCGGATTTCGGGTACAGGATCATCTTCATCATCCATTGCATTGTCTGGGTTAGCTTGTCTTGCCCTCTCTGCTCTTATCTCAGCTTCAATACTCTCACGGATGGCAAGTTTACAGGCACGCTGACAAATTTCTGTCAAATCAGCACCGCTAAAACCCTTTGTCACTTTTGCAATGTAGTTGAGATCAACATCCTTGGCAACAGGTGATTTGCGAAGATTTGCTTTTAAAATTTGGATTCGAGATTTGTCATCAGGCAGAGGAATATAAATCAGCTGATCAAGACGTCCAGGACGAAGAATAGCTGAATCGATAATGTCAGGTCTGTTTGTTGCACCAATGATGAAGACGTTCTTTTTATTACTCATTCCATCCATCTCTGTGAGAATTTGATTGATTACACGATCAGCGGCACCACCAGCATCACCCACACTTCCACCACGAGATTTCGCAATGGAATCCAATTCATCGAAGAAGAGAACACAAGGAGCAGCCTGCCTTGCTTTGTCAAAAATTTCACGAACATTGGCTTCAGATTCACCAAACCACATTGTAAGCATCTCCGGTCCCTTGATCGAAATAAAGTTGGCTTGGCACTCGTTAGCGATTGCCTTTGCAAGAAGAGTTTTACCACAGCCAGGAGGGCCATAGAAAAGTACTCCTTTAGATGGTGTCATACCAAATTTGAGGAACTTGTCTGGATGTTCAACTGGATATTGCACCAATTCTTGTAATTCTGTCTTCACGCTATCAAGACCACCAATGTCATTCCAAGAGACATTTGGAACTTCAACAACAGTCTCACGAAGAGCAGATGGATTACTTTGTGCCATGGCCCATCTGAAATCTTCCATTGTGACAGCAAGATTATCCATCACTTCTGCATCGATAGTTTCCTCTTCTAAATCAATCAAATCCATCTTTCCACGAATCTGCTGAAGTGCAGCTTCAGAGCATAACGCAGCAAGATCAGCTCCAACATGACCGTGGGATTCATTTGCTACTTGTTCCAAATCTACATCATCAGCGAGCTTCATATTCTTTGTGTGAATACGAAGAATTTCAAGTCTTCCTGTTGCATCCGGAATACCGATGTCAACTTCACGATCAAACCGACCAAATCGTCTCAAAGCTGCGTCAATTGAGTTTGGTCTGTTGGTGGCTCCCATCACAATTACATGAGTTCTTTGTTTCAATCCATCCATGAGTGTGAGGAGTTGAGAAACAATTCTTCTTTCTACTTCTCCATGGGTTTTGTCTCTTTTAGGTGCGATGGCATCTAACTCGTCAATAAAAACAATAGCTGGTGCATTCTTTTCTGCTTCTTCGAATGCCTTTCTCAAGTTAGATTCGGATTCACCAGCTAGTTTGCTCATGATCTCAGGGCCATTGATGAGAAAGAAAAAGGCTCCGGTCTCATTCGCCACAGCTCGTGCAATCAGTGTCTTACCAGTACCAGGAGGTCCAAACAACAATATACCTCGAGGTGGTTTGATTCCAATAGCCTTGAAAAGAGCAGGATGACGCAAAGGAAGTTCGACCATTTCTTTGATTTGGGCGAGTTGTTTTCTACAACCTCCGATGTCATCGTATCCTACTTCATTCAGAGCTTCTTCTTCATCTTCACGCTTGATTGGTTCACCTTCACAGTGGATGACGGTGTCTGGAGACACAATACAGAAAGGAGCAGGATCAGTCTCAATGACCTTGAATTCAACAGCACGCATCCCTCCCCTAACGACAAAAATATCTCCTTTACGAATTGGCCTGTATGCTTCCAAAAAGTAAGGCTTCAGATACACATCAAAAAGATTTCCAGATATGCCTTCAATTGTATCATCAATGGGTAAAACATGGATTCTCTTGCCATATTTTACACTTGGACATGCTTGCACACTAACAATATCTCCCAGTCGCACACGAAGGTTATTCCTCACACAGCGATTAATGCACAGCTTCTCATTTGCTACGTTCTCATCGGCAAGAGCAATACAGACAGTCTCACGCCGTTTCTTGCCTTTCAACAGAACTGTATCTCCACGAAACAGTTGCAGCTCATCCATCTTATCTTGAGATAGAACAACAACACTGTTATCATCATTATCAGTTTCATGCACAATAAGACGATTAGGTTTGGATTTTTGTTTCAGTATCGCAGTTGAAAGATCTTCTCCAGAAGCAGCCATGTTTTCTTCTCTTGCAATAACAATTAATGATTTTTCTAGAACTTAAAATTTAATTCTGTACGGACAAAACATTTTATGAGAAAATATATGGAGAAAGTTAATCATCACTACAACAAAGAAAGTGAGCTATATCAAAGAAAAGTAATATGATTTGGCATGATTTATTTTACCATCCTTCAGATAACTGTACAGTGCTCCTATCTGAACCAAATATCACCTGCAATTTATTGGGTTAGGATAAGAACCCCATGCAATAAAAATAATGAAGAACTATCGTTCTCCATATTTACACTTTGCACCAATGGGAAGTAGTAATCTGAAATAAAATAAACTTCACAAATGTATCTAATTAAATAAAGAGTAATAAAAAAGCAAGCATTCCTTATAATACAAGAATCTTGCTGTACAGTTAACAGGAATGCATTTCTGTGAAGTTTTATTTCACTGAGGTCTAACTTCTTCACGTGAGTGTTCAACACTGAAGCATAGATATTTTTATTCTTGCATCTTAACATCAACTGATAGTTGTTTATGAATAATCCAATTTTTACCCAATTGCAGAACCAAATATAAGCTAGTTAAGCAGTCAAGACAGCTACTTGAAAATGTGATATTTTGTGATTGGTAACATGACTTGGTATAATGGTATGTTATCTTGCGGATATGATCCTAAGATGCAAAGAAACACATAGTGGAATTCTAGAATACCCTTCCATGCAACCCATATTCATTCATTCCCAACTGTCCAAGACATAAACTTGATACTGTGCCGCTGATTGACAAGGAGGACATTCACTGTATGCTATGGGGTATTTGAGAGAGTTACCCTCTTTTATACAAATTCATTCTTATTTGAAGTTCAGATAATTCGGCCCGAATAGTATTAATTTAAACCCGTTCCAATAAGACCAAAGAATGACATTATGTACTGCTTAGCCGGAAATAGTTAAAAATAAATTACAATTTTAATTGCGATTAGATCCAAGATAGTGACAGGATGAATACTCTTGAAATATTTCAATAGTGCACATAGATGGAAAATCAATCCTATAATTCTCATTTTATCATATAGTTTAGACTTGTCACAACTCACAAGTTGAAAAAATACTTTTACATGGGGATATGATATATATTACAAATACAGTATGGTTACTTTGTGAATTAGCCGTTAATAGAGCACTAATGGAATCAAATAACAATGAAAATTAGGTTAGAAATTACTGAGGAAGAGAAGTTTTCAGCTATCTAGAACAAGCTAGTAGAAATGCAAATAGAGAATTGAAGTCTATTACGATCAATTTATAACACCATAAAAATTTTATGCCTCACTTACATACATGCATCAAACAATCTGGACCAAAAAATTTTGAGATCCGATAAAGCAATTTTCTACCTTCAGCTCCTTTCCTGTATAAGTTGCACCACAAGTAACAGAATTTGTATCATCTATAATCATTTAGGTCTATGAGGTATTTTAATCTAAAATCTGAAAAAAATTTCAAGAGAACAATGTACAAATCATATTAAGAAAAGAAAAAATTGTGTGTCAAAAAAGAGAAACTAAAACAATAATATCAGCATATCAAAAAGAAATGAGGACATGAGAACTGTGAACTCATAAAAATATTAATATATATTGTACTCAATAATCAATGTCAAATCACACCACAATTAAGAACAAGAACGGGACATGAGTGATTAGTTGGATTGATAGAGGATGAACCCCTCAAAAAAAAATTCTGCCCCGAATGGGATCAAGGAAAAATGATTCTCAAGAAAGTTGCTATATATGGAGCATTAGAGAGTAGAATTTTCTAGGAAAGAAGCATGATTTAGGAAATGTATTCTCATCGAAAGTGAGATAAAATACCTAAACAACAAATATTAAGCAGGCAAAGGCATGAGTTACAAGACCATGTGCTCGACTTCAAGTTCTTATACTATATCAAGAAGAACAATGCATAAGAAAAGCACAACATAATGTACGTTCTGAAATACACATTTTGTTTATCATAATCGAAAACAGATTAGTTTAAATATAAAAGGTGTAATCACACAATTATCTTTTGAATGACAATTCAAATTAAAAAAATTACAGTCAAACTACTCTTTAGCAAATATCAAATAATTATCATCCTATGATGCAATAGCGCTTCATATATAAAGTTTAGAAGAAATTGTAATGGCATAGGCATGAGATATAGGCTTATCTTAAGATATGCCAACTTAACCTCATGAACAAAGCTATCAAAGCAACTAAAAAAAATCATTTTTCGACACTACCAATCATTTCTGAAAAGTTGCATGAAATTTTCAACCAAAAAATTTCTGAAACAGGAATGGCAAGAAACATTTATTGAAAAATATCATTTTAATATAAGTACCACCAGGATTGGGGACCACAACTGAAAATTGAAACCAGAATATATAGATTAAGCTACAGGCAGCAGTAGGGCAGTTAGCCACAATGAATGGTGAAAAGCCGAACATATACAAAAGTATATACGATACTTATCTATTATTTAGTTCTTTCAAAAATGAGGAATACTAATGTATCTCTTCACCAGAATAGGTGAATATAAACCTTAAAATGGGCAATTAACTATTATTATCATAGTTTATTAACAAACAGTCCAATGTCTAGAGTCATCAATCTATCATATCGACTAAAGCCTAAAAGATGTCTAAAATTCACCTTTTTTTCCTTAGATATCCTGCTAAATAGATTAATTATTCTGGAAAATCATGATGTATATATAAATTCATTAACACAATTATTTAAATACATTTATTCTCGAAATGCATTACCATTAACTTTTATGAGGACAACTTTTCAGGGCTATCAATGGGTTTTAAATAAAAAATTGAGGTAATAAAGTGCAGACTAAAACATGTACGTGTCAGCAACGAACTCTTATCACTTGTACAAATAAATGTGAAATAGATAGTTTCAATCAAAGAAATTAATTTATATTAAAACCAAATTAGAATTGTTAGACACTCTATATATGCAAAGGGCAGGGTCACACAAAATAAGTTAATCAAGTGAAAAAAAACTCAAGAGCTGAAAACATTATGCCCCATTCATTATTTAGGCATGTTCTCGATAGCACATGCTTCAGCTATAGATAGATATAATAATCAAATAAAACTCTAAATGTTGGCAGTGTCTATAAATGTCTTATCAATAAATTACACTCGAACATGATACTCAAAAATCCGTTTGATTCCGTTTTCCTTACCAGGAAACTGTTTAGAATTGACAATATCGAATCAAAACAATTTTGACTGATAAAATAATTCATTGAGATGCCCACTCATTTTAAAATTAAACTCACATTAGTATTTGATGATGAAGGGCTTCAATGTCCTGCCTTTTATAAATATGAATTGAATATTGATAATACAACAGAGCAAATGAAAAACTCAACCAAATTTTATGCATTTAAAAGGTTACCGGTAGTGATACATTGACAAATATTATAAGTTAAATTAGACCAAAGGATGCTTTCACACATCATTTAATCTATGGCAATCAATATCAAAACTGCACTCGAAGATTAAATTTTTTCTAAACATAAGATTTTAAGCTAACATTTTTCACAGAATTATTTTCAATTCCTAGCATCTAAATGGATACTGATTGAAAAATCATAAGAGCACAGTAGTCCACATTCTGAAATAACAAAAAATATTTCGAAAATAAATTAGTATTTAGTTACTTGGGGTACACTACCAGCTGCATATAGTCTCTCACACATATTCCCATAGTATTTCGGATCAAATCAGTCGACCATAAAAAATACATTTGTTTCATTCCAATGCAGATAGTGCATTGAATCATTCATTTGCTATCTTTTGTTTCATTCTCATCATCTATGATTTCAATAGCTGTGATAGTTGTGGAGGTTTGATGACCATTCAAGGGAGTTGGTGACGAAGTTCGGCTTGTTGATGCCATATGTTGTAACAATGCATCTTTTGTTGGAATACGTACAGCGGAACTTTGCCCTGCTGGACGTTCGGTTAGCATGCCACTGCCTATTTGTTTAAAATACTGCATTTGAAGTTGTTTGAATTGTCTTTGTAAATTTTGAAAAGTAGAAAATTTTTCATTACGTTGAAGCTCTAAACGATAGTTAACTTCAACTGCAATTGCTTTAATAGTCTCTTCATTAGAATTACTATAAAGGGGAGTCTCTTTAAGATGTTTCATTATGCTTGGGACAGACTTAACTTCACATACTTGGTATTGGTAAAAAGCATTGGCAACCATTTTACTCAACCTAGATAATAAAACGACAGATGATTCACTGTCCATTGGTTTTAGTGAAAAAGAAGATGGCCTTTGAGTATTGGATAAATTACTTTGCTGCCTCCAATCTTGAAGTGAGATAGTAGGAGCGTGGCCTTTCTTTATCATCTCATACTCTTCCCATGCAGCTTTTCTTTCCTCTTCTGTCAACTCCTCATCCACTTGATGATCAAGGAGGGAGTCGTGTTCATGATAAGACGCGACCATGTATTTTGTTCGTGGATCAGAGAGTATATCAGCGAGTACTTCATCTTTCGGAACAATTGGTGTCGGTTCATCTTTCCCAATATCAGGAGTTGTGGGATTAAAAGTATACATTTCGGCAAGAGAATTAGCAGTAAAATGTCTGTTAATCTGCTGCTCATCAACAACTCGAAAAGCAAGAGATTGCTTGTTCACCTGTCTTTGGTAGATTTTTTCTTCCATTGTGCCTTCAGCGATAAGTCTATAGATATAGCATTTCCTTGTCTGTCCAAACCTATAAACTCTGAACATGGATTGAGTATCATGAGAAGGATTCCATGAGGCATCAAATATGATAACCCTGTTTGCACCAACAAGGTTCACTCCAAGACTACCTGCACGTGTGGAAATCAAAAATAATCTAGCCCGTGTGTCACTTTCATTATTGAATGCATTTATCCACTTTTGACGATGGTGGCTTTGTGTTGCGCCATCCATACGAAAGTAATCAAGATTTTTAAACCATGTTCTTTTTGGTAGTTTGTTCAAATTTCCGATATCTGGTTCTTCCTCTGATTCTGTTCCAATCAGGTTTGCCTTAGGGATTTCCTCAGAATTCAATGTATTTTCAGCAGCTGCATCTGACATCTCATTTTCAGAATCATCAGAAGACACAGTTGCTTTCAACATTTCTTCAATCAAATCAAGAGATATCAAACTTTGACTGAAAATAAGAACCTTTTCTTTACGTTCCTCTGATAGTCTTAATATTTCAAACAGAATTGCAATTTTCGAACTGTTTTGATAATTTTCCAAGGTATTTTGATCCTCAGGGAGAATCTTAGCATACCATTCAGGCTCCTTCTTTTCAGACGTTGACTCCAATTCGAGAAACTCAATTTCAGCATCACTTTCAACACAACGCAAACGGTATCGTTGTTTTCTACTTGTGGTAGATCTTGTACGTCTATCAGGAATTTTTTCTGCGTCACTCTCACTGTCGCTTTCACTTTCTTCATCATCAGAACTGTTGCCAGATTCTGCGTCTTCATCTTTTTCTGTAGAAGCTTCATCGCTGTCCCATTCATCATTATCTTTTATAACTGCCTTTCTTCTTTTTGACCGTGTTCTTCTCGTTGATATGACCTCTTCTGAACCAGAACTATCACCTGAATTATCTTTATCAACGTCATTTAAATTAATAACATTGTTGAATTTATCTTTTTTTGTGTCACTGTCAATATTTTTTTCGCTTTTTACAGTTTTGTTGATTGAATCGTTTTCATTATTTTCATTGGCATTTTTGTCATCTTCTTCAGATGAATTCGACCAATCATCTGTTTCGCTTGCTTCCAGTTCTTCTGCAATAAAATCCCATTCAGCTTGGCGGGCCAACATCTTGTCTCTCTGAACTGTGTGTAATAACAAAGATTTTGGATGTGTCCATACTCGCATTAAATTTTGATAATCAGCAAACAGTGAGGCTCCTTTACCATAAGAATTAACTATTGTTGTGTTTGATCCTCTATTAGTCATTGTGTCTAAATAATGTTGATAGAGTTTTATCTGTAAAGGCGTGAGGCGAACTTTAAGTACGTATTCGAATTTAGAAGACAAATATGGCTTCAGACATGAATAGTCTTTGCGTTGAACAAAACCTTGGAGCATTTGGTGTAAGACATGCGATCGCTTTTTCATAATTTTAACATCACGATCAGTTGAATCAATATGCTGACCATTTATAATTGGGTTGACGAAACGATTCCTAAATTCTTTCAGGGAACCGAGAAGATCGGGTTTAACAAAATCAACCATGCAATGATATTCTATAAGATTGTTTTGCAATGGAGTACCAGTAAGGACCAGCCTTCTTTTCGTTCTCATTTTACTTATTTGCTTTGAGATATGTGAGGTTGCATTTTTGAGCATGTGACCCTCATCACAAACTACAACATCAGGACCAGGATCGACCAAGCACTCATGCACAGTCTTTTTCCACCCTGAATACCTGATTTTTGTAGTCATAATTCGATACATGTCGTAACCTAAAATCAAAACACCACCGTTTTTTCGCCATAACCGTAACATAGAAACTCTTTCTTTATTTGTCTTTGGTTCAGCAAAATTAAAAAGATTTAATTCATCACCATCTTCACACCATTGCACAAATTCTGCAATCCAATTCCGCACAGTGTTGAGAGGAGCGACTACCATAGCACACTCGAATGGAACATACTTAGTTTTTAAAAGTGTATGTATTACTGAGATAGTTTGCAGTGTTTTTCCAAGCCCCATGCAATGGGCAAGAATGCACCCACTACCAGAGCCATTTTTCACTCTTTCCGTGCTTTCAACAAGATTGTTCCATATAAACTTTACGCCTTCTACTTGATGTGGGCGTAAATGTTGGGCAATATACTCACTAACTGCAACATGTGGATGTTTTTGCAACATTACTGTAGAAGTAAGTATCTTTTTCTCAGGCGTTTGTTCAATTTCATCTGGTTCCTCTTCACTTTCAGCCTTTTCAAGTTCTTCGAGTCTTTTTAATCTTTCACGTTCCTCTTTTGCAGCGTTCCTTGTTTGTTTCTGAAGATCTTTATCCAACAAAATTTTTTTGATTTTCCTTCTTCCTAAATTTCTCTCTTTTTTGGTTTTCTTCTTTTTGTCACGACATTTTCTTACTTTTGCTTCCACAACCGGTTCTTCATCTGAGTTTGTATCATCTGTATTGGAGTCAGTTTCTATCAAATCATCTTTGATTTTCTTACTCTTTTTTGAAATGGACGAAGCACTACGCTTACGACTACCATTGTGTGTTTTCTTGTCATCTTTTGAATCAAGTTTTGAGTCGGATTCCTCATCTATGTCAGATTCACTCCCACTACTACTAGAAATAATATTAGGATTTGTTATGTTCATTTCGGGTTTCACATTATTTTTGAAAATTTCCCTTTTTCTTCTTTGTGTTTTTTTCAGAGAAGACAGTGGACTACGATTCTTGGGCGTATCTCCTTTGATTGGAGTTAGTACATCTGGCTCGTTGCTATCTGTGAAAAAAGATGAATCATCTTCTGATTCAACATCACTCTCTGGTTCAGCATAATTTATTCGTCCACCTTTTCTATTTTTTGAAGCAGCACGAGAACTACGATATTCGTAGTCACTCATGTTGTTGAATCAAGTTGATAGGAAACATTAATTAATCTAACAGACTGCTTTAATACAAATTTTCATTTATATAATTGTATAAAGATCATCCATATTGAAAGGTAATAGATAGTGTAGTATAGTATACCAAAACAGCACCAAATTTGGAGTAAATGACAAGTTCATCTCCCCCTTTTTATAATACTTTTACAAGAATAGGAAGGTATGTAAAAGCAATGATATAATACAAAGTTCTACATTACATATTATAATTTGGGTCATGTTCAACAGGAACAAATTGAATTCAATTAAACGAGTGTAACAAGAATTAGAAAATATGTCATTTTGGGCATTTATTATCCAATGATCAGATAAAACTATTTTACTTCATTCAACCTCTGGCATTGTAAATAATAGCAAATCAAAAAGAAAATGTTAATTCCCACTATCTTATCCGAGTGCACAAACATCAGAAGGAAGGAGTAAATCCGCGATCTAAATTTGGTTGAAAAGCGGCAATATAATTTACTGAAATCAGAACATTCAAACAGAGACAAGATATATACGGTCTCACTACTTACTGAATACAGCGCGAAAAGCGCAAAACAGTGTGGAAACAGCGCAAAACAGAGGGAAACAGTGTGAAGCAGAAAAAAATTTTTCAATGAGTTCGGGGCACCTTGTTTTGAGTTGGAGTACCACGGCAGCAAATTAAAAACACAAACCAACGTATGTAGCCAGAAATGCTGTAATGGCAGGTCTGCCCCTGCTTGTGACACATTTTGGGTACCATAATTTAAAACATTTTCCATATGGATATGGTTGGCTTTAGGGTTAGGTAAAAAGGAACCTCCAGAAGTATGTGCACCAAGATGGCGCACAACCTGAAAATAGTATGTGTGTGTGTGTGTAGCGGATTCAGGTTGTGCGACATATTGCTGCACATACTTCTGGAGCACCAAAAAGGTAGATAAAATTTCGCATGATGACCTATAATCCGGTACATGACCTTGTAAATATGCCGGAAATAGCGCCATAAAACCATGGCGAGAGGCGCCGTGGTTCTTTCGTGGCAGGAGGTGGTAATGACTGCGTCTCCTGTTTCCCTCTGTTTTGCGCTGGTTTCCTTCTGTTTCGCGCTGTTTTCCTCTCTTTTGCGCTGTTTCGCGCTCTTTCGCGCTGTATTCAGTAAGTAGTAAGACCCAGATATATATATTCCTAGTAATTACTAAATTCAATTGTCATGCATGATTCTAATGATTTATGGGCTTGTGTAGTTTCATACCTACTGTTCTTCTGGTAGGCGTAGCATAACAATTTTTTGATTTTTCAATCCTAACCCTCATCTGACTACACCATCCAAAAATTATGTCACTTCGACATCACAAAGCTTGCCAAATACGTACGATCGCCCGAAATGGCATTGGCGACGACGATAAAGAACTGACTAACATCATCAATCTCTCTCCTTTTGGGATCGTGGGTTGGCTCTGCGTGGGTTCGCAGGTTCGAATCCCGTGCAGGGATGGTTATGTGCGAGAGGATTGCTGGACTCCTCGCCGTCGTTGGGTGGTTCACGTAACCGCTGGTCGGTTACGGCTTCCTCCACCACCAAGTCCATGCTTCCGAAAACAAACAATACAGTAAAACTAATCCCATACCCGACTTGGAATGATAACCGGACGAGAGGCCGTGGTCCGCCATATGGATAAGCCGTGTTATCGGCTTTCCTCCCCCCCCCCCGGGATAAATATGTAAATCCTATCCATGTGGTGATTAGGATTGACATGTGGAAAAATTTTTATGCTACGCCCACTAGAAGTATGTTAGGTACATAATGAGACCCGATTTATGTAATATATGAGCCAGATCAGAATATACTGATATATTTGATACCCAAAAATTGTATTTCATGATGTACCCAGAATACAGGAATAGCTGAATAGGGGTATAGCAAGTAAACGCTATTACTCTGTAACAATTTAAATAACTCTGTAACATTGACAAATTGATGACTCAGGAAACTAATGATATGGAAGTCTTGTATAAAAAAAATGTTGAATAACAGCAAAAAACTTAAAACTCAGAGTATCCTGATCTAAACCATTTTTTTTTATTTTACCAAAAATCTTGGGTTTTTTTTTTGGTACTGTAAGGTGTACAGTTTGACTACTGGACTGTGGTCAGGTGATAGCCTACCGTAACCTGGTACCGGTACCGTAAGATAAGAAAATCTATTCTCACGTCTGCACGTTCTCTGTTATTCAACGTTTTTTGAATGATTGATAAATTTTCAAAAAATCCTACAGAATCAATAAAACTAGCATAGGCCTACTTATACCAGTTCACCCACTCGACTATCTTTGTTCAATTTTTTACTGTCACACTGCGAGGATCGCTGTACATGTACATGCCATAGCTATTGTAGACGTACGGTACCCGGTACCGGTACATTTTCGAATGAAAATCGTCCAGGCTCAAGCAATACAGCAATAAGGGATAGTTGACGAAAAAATAAGGAAGCAGGCTATACAGTAAATAAATCCTCCCTTATCGCTTTTTGAAAACACCAAATTCAAATAACGCAGAACCACGGAAAACAAAAACGCCAGGGTCGAGCTTGTTCCGCGTCATCCGAGTGTCCCATTGGCTGATGACAGAGAACTAACTCGAATGGTGAATCGGTATAATTTACGCTGAGTCATATATGGCACAAAGACTGGCAGACGTGTACAAATATAAAACACAGCTTTTGCGAATTAAAAAAAAAAAAGACATTGAAATTACATACAAACTAAGCGATATCGACACCAAGATATATTTAATAAAATATTCGATGAAGGTGAATGGTGCGGCATTTACATGACCAAACGAAAACCCTTACATACAAGTGTTGCGTCATTTCCGTGTAATAATTTACGTCATGCTTGGCTGATTACGAAAATCAGACGACTAAAAATAAAAAAAAACTCCACATAGGTGCTAATTAATTTTTCCAACATTAAAAATTATATATAAACAATGTAAGGATCAAATCCGATTATCTCCAGAAGTCCGATACCATCAGCACGCAGTAAGAGGGAAATTGCGCAACAAAAATTATTTTTTGAAAAAAGGAGTGATATTCAAAGTCTGAAAAATTTCAAAGTTTCAGCTGAGCTGAATTAAAATAGGACTTATAAACAGTGGCTGTTTTACACAAAATACAACGACTGTGAAATACATTATGACTTAAAAAGAGGAGAATATTAGAAGAATGTGAAAAGCAGATACCAATAATGGCGAATACTAAGTATTGAAATTGTATAAAAATCTAAAAACCAAAATACATATTACTCAAAGATAACCTGTATTTTTACCATATTATGCAAGCTTTCAATGAGTTTTGATTTTGTTTTCCATAGATTGACTAACAGTTTTTGAATCGTATACAATCAAAACATTTTTGTTTATTTACCACCTCGTTGATTTATTTCATTTTTTGTGTATTGAAATTGTATATAAATCTAAAAATCAAAATACATATTAATTAAAGATAACCTGTATTTTTACCATACTATCAGTAGCGTAGCATCCACCCCCGCGGTCGCGGGAGGGCCCACCGGCAAAATTGTTTGATCGCACCGGCAAAATTACAAAGGCTATCAGAATGATGTCGAAAGCAAAACCTCTCAGTGGCACACAGAAACGCAGAAAAAGGGCAGAAGAGGAAGCACGTATGAAAAAAATTAAAGTAACCGAGATAAACGGCTTATGTCCGAGAGATTTTAGAGTCATTTCCACAAAATATTTTTGCGGGGGGCCCACGAGAGTCTTGCTACGCCACTGCATACAATGCAAGCTTTCAATGAATTTTAATTTTGTCTTCCATAGATTGAATAACAGTTTTGAATCGTATACAATGAAAACACTTTTGTTCATTCACCACCTCGTAGATTTATTTCATTTTTTGTTATAAGTATTGTCGTGTTCTGTCGAAAAAAAAACGATTGATAAAGATACTGTCCTACTAGGCCCGTAAAATTCTTAAAATTCAAATTTTGCTTTGAGCTCTAAAATGTTTTTAAGGTTGTATTATGCACGTGCTTGATCATATTTCAGCTTATCGTCGTCCAGTGCTTCAATGTCGATGTTAACAAAATTACTTTATATGTTAACAAAATTACTTTTAATTAGCGTCAATAACGTAGAGATTTCACCGCAATTGTAATATATATTAGAGATTTAACGATAAAATTGAGTTTATTATCAAATGTAACGAGAATGAAGTTGAACTAGGAATTCAGTCGAGTTTAGTTATAAGAGGAGCAAAAACTGACTAAATCCCATGTCATATTTCTCCCTAACCTGAGTATTAAATCATTTGAAATAAGTTTTGAGAAAGATAGCAATTGAGACATTTAATAATATTAGCTAATAGATACTGTGAGATGTGCGTTATTGTGATGTTAATATAGGATTTTAAAAGTACAGCTTTGCTTGTACCAATTAGCAATTTTTCTCGTCTTTGATTGTGTGAAATATTTTTTGTTGTTGTTTAAATTGAACTTCTTACCAAAAGCTGATATTTCCAGAAATGATGATGATCATGTTTTTGTCAGTGTATTCACTTACATCGTATTTTCCCAAAATGAGACCTAGCCCGAATTTTAAAAAGGATTTTAATATAAGCCCTTCGCTTAAAATAAGACCCAGTCGGTAGCGAGCATTTCTTTTTGCATGACATTCCTAGGAATGATGATATGGTTATTTTTGAATAATCTACGTTTTGGTATTTTTTTTCTAAATAAAAACGTGTTGATTATGAGTGAATGGATATTGGTTTACACATTTTGTATATTCGAAAAGCTCGTAATCAAATAAGCGTTGGTTATTTTTCGAGCGATAATTAAAATAAAACCCTGTCTTACCGTCGGAGAAACTCGGTATACACGCAGTGTATGTTATAGGTTTCTGAGACATCACAATTTCAATGCCCCTAGAATAATGAAAGGAAAATTTTCGCAAAAACAAATGAAATAATCAAATTGATGATATTATTGATTATTTAATGATATTATGCCATACATGCTAAATATTTGCTTTTGTGTCTTCCTCAGTACGTACAATTATAGCTGATAATTGTGATTACTTGAATTGCTACCTGACAACAAGTAGTTGATATACAAAGCTTGGTTGGCCCCCCTTTTTTTGTGGCAGTTATATGATACGAACATGTAGCTTAAGGTAATTTTGTATGTATCCGGTTTTGTTTTTTGTTCTACTGTATTTTTTCATGATGTAATGTTGGACTCTTTTATATATTAATTATTGTTGGACTTAATCAAGGGTGTCGATTCAAGTCTCTCCTTTCTATTTGTCGCATAAAGTGTATTTTCTTCATGGCGATAAAACAAATACTGAATAATGAATTTTAAAGATATATATACAGTATTTAAAAAAAAAACGAATAAATTTGTTTTAGTTCCACGTTGTTTTTGAAATAGGGAAATCTGTTGTTCAGCCTAAGAGTTTAATACAGAAGAGAACATTTTCTTAAAATTTTAAATTTCATCTCTGCTTACAAATTGAATATGTGTTTCAAACAAACTTACATATACAAACTCAAATGTACATAAAATATAAGAAAAAGATAAATCTGTCTTCTGAGTGAACTAAATTAAAATTCTTCCCGAAATAGCGCTGCGAGTTTGGCGATATCGTAAGTGAAAGTTTTTGTGAATGTAGTCGAATGTCATTTCAAAGTTTCAGATGTGCGTTTGTGGCTCGAACGATTTCTCAGATCCACTCTCCTCCAAAATTATCCCAGGCCATAAAGTAGTAAAATAGCCACTAAGGATCCCATGTATAGAGGTATACGGCAATATTTCATTGCTATGAAACGCGAGTCTTTGTTGCAGATACGCCGTGCATCACATTTAACGAGAAAAAGACTTTAGCTGCTTATAAATGAATATATGTTGTACAATATAATTATTTATTCAAAAATATTAATTACATGGTTTAGCGCTGGGTGCAAATAAAATTTCATGAATGAAATATAAACAACTACATCAATAAATATGTAACAGGTCCCCGTAGGAACAAAACATACAAGCTCTGCTTCTCTTTGTATCTTTAGACTATGAAATATATATTGAAAAAAGTTCCCGAATCTATAAGTGAACGTATATCGGAAAGAAACAAACCCTAATTTTGATGGAAATATCGTAGAATTGAGCAACCTAAAGTAGATGTACAAACGATGTATAAAAGTGAGTGACATGATAACAAAAATCTAAACGTTTGATGTACTATACGTTATTGATCAGTTAAGAATAACAACTACACTTTTTATCTGTTTTACAATTAGTTGTCCATCGGTGCCAAACAAACCTTCTGCTTTTATATCCACGGAGTTAAAGTTGGTTAGCCTATTTGATTTAGACGAATTTGAAAATTCAAAATTATTCAGAAAATTATATATAAATGTGCAATGTTCCCTTACAAATTGGCAATAGACAGAATATTTTTTTCGAAATTTTAATTTCCCACGATAGAAATAACGCCACCAATGATTGCAAGAGCGAAGGATACCCAAGCAAATACGAAACTATATCCCCAGCTCACGTTAGAAAGAGAAACGGTATCAGCATATAGTCCAGTATAGGAAGCAAGCCCAATCATGATCAAAACACCTAAAAAAAATAAGAGTGGTGAAATTTTTTAATTTGTGTGCAATAAAAAGTTTAATTTAAATTGACAGAGAGATATTCCACTGTGTCAAATTGTTGCGGTGGTATTTATTTGGTATGCCGCCATAATTTTTGTATCTCAAATATATGTAACATCTCGTGGTTACCTCACTCTTATGAGTAATGAAGAAGAAACACTCGGCAGATAATTTCTAGAATACACGGGTATTCTTCATGTAAATGAAATTACGATCAAATGAAAGTTCAAAGGAGAATTGCTTTATCACAAAGATGTGTTCAAGTGGGCGGGGCATCAGTTTTTGCTTGATGCCTATCCTTTTATGACTCACCAATTATTTTCGTATGTATTTAACTCTAATTTTCACCCTGTCATTATAAACTGACAAGCACTCACGGAGCTAATCGAATGTCACTCACCCTTCATTGATAGTACGAATCTATTTACTATGTGATTGGGCGGGGTCGGGCATACAATATGAAAAGGCTCGTTGTAAAAAAGTGTAAACGTATGGTTTTAATTGTTAAACCATTTGGACAAATATAGTATACATTCGATCAAAAGGACAAGAACTATTCGCGTCACGTTATGGAAATTTACATAGTGTGCTTTAGATACGCCAATGACCTTTTTGTACACGAAATTTATTTCATATGATATATTTTATCGTTAGGTTGTTTTTAAACAGTTTCAAGTCTGAGACGTTTGGCCTTTAAGGCACTACTTAATATTGTCTTTATAGCTCACGAGTTTACTTTTTATTATGATTTAATAACTTGTGAGAGAAACCATGCAGCTACACATTCTTCCACTTATAATTGCACAACTTAAATTTGTGACGAATTGTTATGTTCTAATCTTATCAAGCACACTTGATACCTCCGAGTAGTGAAAGCACTCCACCAAATGTTCCAAACGCCGATCCTTTCTCTTTTTTCGCCCCACCGATCAACGCCCCAATCGCTCCACATAAAAGTATGACATCTCCCATTATATTGAATGCAATTGCTACTTTTTCAGCATTTCCCTTTGGTACTGAAAAAGTAAATATATCATGAAAACTAAATGACATTATAAAGTTTTTGAAACAAAAAATTTGGAATATGTCTAAAAATCCGTGATTATTTTTCCGAAATAAACTGTTTTAAAATATGTAGGCAGCATCTGGAATTTTTTTTTATCTTAAATCTTAAAAACGGAGTAAGCTCTTTTCAAAATTCAGGCGAGTTTTACACAGCAACAGGACTTTGCTAATGTGAGGCAATATATTAGGCGAAATTATAAACAATCTTGTGCATTGAAAATATGCCTCTAGACTCAACGTCTGAAAAATGCATGATGCATGAACAAAACACACAAAAAGAAATAGTAAATTTGAAGTATAAAATGTGCATTAACTTACACCGTTCATTTTTCTGAAATTTGAAATTGTAGAAAAAACGTACCGTTAGCCCAAACACCACCAGATACAACTTGAAACAATCCCTGAGCAGAAACAGGCGTGTAAATCCATCCTGGTGTTGCTAGTGCTATTAAATTGAAGCATAAGGCAAAAAGAAGTCCACCACCACTTCCGAGACGAAGAAACCCCATGTTATTGTTAAAAAGATATTGAAAGTTACAAACAAAAGGTAGGGCAGAATCTGAAAATCTTCATAATTTTATTTTCATTACTTTGGTTAGAATTTCGAGTTAATGATCACGGCATAAATATTTTTGGATTAGTAACACATGTACGCAAAATGTTTATTCAAAAGTTGTCATAAACAACTAAAAAAGTAAAAATCTTATATTTTAAAGCTAATTTTTATTATTTTCGACTCACGTCTAATTTTGAGTAAGATCTGACTTTACCAAATTTTTCGACAATTGGAAACCGAAATAGATATCCATCAAGTTCGAAAGCTTTCCGAAAACTGCGATGACAGAGGTTTCCATCATTTTTTATATAATCGATATATTTTTCTATAAATACAATAATTTCTACAATAAAAGACTAAGTTTACCTAAGAGTTATTAGTTTGGCAAACATTATATGTCGTTATTTGATTTGATTCAATCAAAAATAGAGGTGAGATATTTCATGAGTGTTTACTTAGCATTGACGTGATTATAAAAAAGACTGTATTACATAGGTCAGATCCAGAGGTCAATATATCTTATACACGCCCTGAGTCTTTTCTCAATCGACGTGAACATCATGGAAGAATTACTTAACGAGTCAACGTGCTTGAAACTTTGAATCGTCCCTGGCGACGTTTTCACTAATTTGAGAAAATGCTAAATCGATTTGCCAATCTTCATTGACGTGTAGGCAGCGACTGCTGAATAGATGTAAGAGAACATAAAAAATAAATCAGTTTTACGTACTTGATCACGTTTTTGGTGGAAGAATGTATTAGAAAGACCCACTTTTCTAAAAGATCTCCCAAAAGTAATCGGATCCAACATAGCCCAAAAGCAACAACATTCCAACTAGCCTCCAACGAGATATAATAAACGATAAACTAAAAGGAAGCCGTTGAAATCAGCGCTAATTGAATGTAACTAACAAGAAGGAACTTTTGTACAATACGCACGTAAATCCGAAACGGAATATCGTACCAATAATGTGTACAGGAAGTACGTTGAACGTTACCATTCACGTTCAGCCAGAGACCCTCTTTCTATCCCACTCTCTAAAATAAAGTTTGAGGACATGTAGACATAATCATGGGTATAACAAAAATATCATGTCCCACTCATGTATACCTGTGGTTCTTAGCCTTTTTTAGATTGTGGACCGGTAAAAATTCAAAACTAATTTTGCGGAACGGTGAACTTCAAAATTAACCCAAAATATCAGAAACGCAAAACATAATTAAATGAATGTAACTACGACAAAAGTATGCAATTCAAAAGCAGACAACTCAATTTGATGAGAAATTTGCTGCTGTCTTTTTGATATCATACGTGTTCAACGCGGTTATAATGATGTTTCAGAAAAGTGAAGTGGAGCGTTGACATCCACACGATTTCTTTGTCTGGCCTTGATAAGAGATAACGATGAAAAGCTTTTCTCACATAAAAAAGTTGTTCAAAAATCATCAGTAATTTAATGGCTTTGTCACTGAGCTCAGAATATTCTTTTCCAGACGATATCCAAAATAATGACAGGTCTATATGCTTCTACATCAACGTGGTATGTGCTTGACATCATTTTGCCATCAAATTTCGCTAAATTATATTGTCAAATTACGGAACGCGCGAGGTTTTCAATCAATTTAAGATTTAACAAGACAAGTAGGCTACTATTTGCTATCGACCTCCTTCGTTATGATGTTCGCCGTTATGACGTCATAGACTTAACAAAACCTCCAGGCGTCGGGTCATAAATGGGCGTATCACCTCCGACCAAGTTCGGTTGGACGTCAATAATAGTTAAAACTCGCAAAACAAATAGCTAGGCCATCACCACCTGGCATAATAGCAATTGAAATATAATATTGGAATATATTTGGCGGACCGGCAAGGAGGCTTATTCGAACCGGCACCGGTTCTCAAGTGGTTTCCAGCCCTTTATGGCTCATAGCCCCATTCCGGAAGCTTTTAGCACCCATGGCCCCCCTGTTTATCATTTCAGTGGTTTTTCGTGTTATTTTTATAGGGAGATCCCAAATCCAAATATTTTTAAACAAATCATGCTCAACAATGTGAAAACACCTTGTGAAATAACCTTATCAATCAATGAAACTAGAAAAAGCGGAGAGTGTTCTTCTAAAGGAAATATAAAAAATCATTTTTGCGCCTGGTATTGGAGCCCCCTCCCACTGATCTGCGGCCCCTCGGTGGGCCACGGGCCCCCTATTGGAAACCGCTGTCTTAGAGCATTATATATATCCTAATTCAGAACAAAAGCATGAATGCTCCGTCATACCCGAACTTCAACAATTTGCCCAACAGTATATTTCTACCCAAGATCATAGGACGGTTGAAGGTTATCGTGACTTTCAATATGGTAACCGATTTGGCTGTTACAGATACAATGTTTTGGAACGTTTCTAGATCCTGGTGAAACTGACCATCAAGGTTCATTATTTAAAATTTGACGTTTAATTGTGCCCAAATTTCACTCATTTATGGAGGAAAAAGAATTTGAAAATAGAAATATTCACTATATATGTTGGTCTAGTAGTTGTTGATAATGCAGGTTTAGGTTGGAACTGGTTGGTTTCCTATTTTTGAAGTGATAAAGGCCATGGATATGGCTACAATTCAATCAATAGAATACAATGAAATCTTTAGTTTGTTCTCTATAAGTATAATCTATTAATACAAAAATCCGCATGTAATGCCACTTGGAAATGTACAAGTGTATACCTACCTAATAGCAATGCGTATGCGTTGAAAAGTGACGACAAGTCTCAATATGTTACCATCCAACTAGTAGGACTACATATTATAACTTCAGTAACCATATCAATTACAAAATAATGTATAGGTGAGGCAACGCACGTCATATATATATGCATTTACATAACTTTAGAGTATGGAATGAGTCGCTCAATCCGAGCAATGGGTCGCATGACGAAGCTGCCTTTAATGACTCATGCATCTATATTTCCCAAAATTGTTTCGTCGGTAGCACGACTACTATTCCGTCATTTCTATTGACGTCTGAATCTGCATGTTGCAATTCGGAGAACACTATATCTGCTATGGAGATACCTTTGAAATTATCAACTTTATTTGCATTCGGTAAGTTACTAAATAAGATGTTTATGTTATTATTTTATAACATAGTGAATATTTTATAAACTGGATAGTAATAAATATGGCCTATAACCAATGTTTTTGTATATCTAGCGCATCCGTATATGTATATCTTGTATCTGTCTTCGCACATGCTATAAGTCATATTAAAGCAGTGATTCTCAAACTTTTTGAAAAATTATGCCCTTGTCCCCTTGCAATTTTTCTGATGACTCGCGGTCAACCAAAGAAATGAACGCAAATGGCAACGCGGTATATCAAGCATTCATCTATTATTCTATTGAATGACATTAAAACAATCCAATGAGCCTGCTTGGCTTCTACCTTGGGTTATGTTTTGGATAACTCAATTCTTAAATCATGTTTCACGTTTTAACATTCTGTTTCAACATTTTGTTTTAATAGCGAGTAACGTAGAAATAGCTGCCTCACATTCGTAAGTTGTTGTAAATGGAATGAGCGTTTTTGGGGCCATTTTAAAATTACCCCGAAAAAATTTACAATCAGATGCACACGCCTTCCATAAACAATACGCTCGGATTTGCGGTACTTGCCACGTTCACCAAAGTTTGTTACGTACATAATGTCTTCGGCAGAGCGTGTCGTGTTTTCGAGAATCATGTAAAAGCATGACATCAAAATTTTACTTCAAATCAAAGTGCTTCTATATCAAGGTTAGCGCTGTCTCACGGTCCCCCTAAAATCGCTTCGCGGACCCCTAAGCGACCGCGGACCCCAGTTTGAGAACCAATGTATTGAAGTCATGTATATATACTGAAAAATGAATGTTTATCTGTGAAGATTCAACATTCAAGTTGTTTCTGTTCAAAACAAGCTCACACAATTCATAAGTCTAATTCTGAGATTAGGACGCCAAATATTCTTTGGGACGGATTTGAAAGGCAGTTCCGCATTGTGAGCGCTATATAATTTAATGCTTTTCCACAGTTCTTCAATCTGCATTTTCAGTGTTTTTCCAAATCGTCTGTAGCCAGCAATGTGAAATCCCAAAAGAAAGTTTGCAGATCAGACATAGAATTGGTCAACTAAAGCCCAAAAACTACCCACAACGTATTTCTGCAAAGCAAAATTGTGTCTGGCAGTTTTCTGACGATATATTTCCAGGACAGGCTTTGTTTATATATGTATCGGGCATTAATTTGGTTCTCAACAACGAAGCTATCGCAGATATAACAATAGGTAAGACTATTTCTAAATCGAGCCAAACCATTAGAAAATTGAAATATATATCGGACATTGATTTGGTACTCAACGGCGAAGCTATCGCAGATATAACTATATGCGGGACTATTTTATATCGAGCCAAACCATGAGCAAATTTGTAAGATATTAATACCGAAAACTTGGTTTGATCTCTACTTACGACACAAATAGATTTTCGAATTTAATTTAAAGTTGAGAGAAAAATAATGAAACTGCTACCTCAACTACTTTTTCAACCGAGCTGTCATCAATAGAGCTACAGTATTACAGTGCGACAAAATATCTTTGAACTTATTATATATTGTTTCAAAATATGTAGTTAGCATTATAGTGTCCTATCATAACATGATGATGTTATAGGGATATGCTTACTTCTTTTCAGGGGAAGAAAATCCAATTTACGAAAAGCCGAGAGCGAATTGTAGACTTTATGGAAAGAATATCACAGATTTAAATTGGATAAACGTGAACAAGTATTTCATAGAAAACTATGAACGTAAAGGAAAGAGTTGCAATGCTTGGTTCGTTGACAGTCGACCTGTTCAAAAAGTAGTTTTTCGATCTTTCGGTGTACAAAATGAACCTTTTCCATTTAAAGAATTCATGCTGGTTTACGAATATTTACCCGTAGAGAGCATACTCCAGTCTGACACTACAACTGTGAAGAATGAAACCTTTTCTACGCATTTCACCTCATTAGGAATGTCTTCCCCAGGTAAAGCGTAGCAGTAGCGTACCAAAATAGAACATAATCTTGACAAATCCCATCTTATTGACAAATACCAAAATGTCATAATACGTAGCTTTCCACTTATGTTCGAATTTCTACATGAAATTCAAAGTTCAGAGTCGGAAAGGGCATTGAGAGGCTGGCTTGACTATGTACTCAAATTCGAAACTCATGCTTCTAATTACCGGTATCTATTTTGTAGAAAATATCTCACATTTTGTGACAGAAGACAAACGCTTTCAAATTATTTTCATATTTTGACTGTAGGCTTTTTCATATTTGGGGAAAGATATTTTTCAAATGGGGAGATTTGTATTTCGGACCAAACTGCAATATATATATTTATAGGAAAAATACCATTACTGTAGTCTACTTTAAGTTAACAGTTGCACATTTTGGGAATAATGACTTTGATGCAATCATTGTTTTAGGTGTTACAACCAAGGATTACGAAAAAATGACAGACAAAGTACAATGTGGAAACAATACTGCTTACATAGTATTGATTGTACTTCTTGCCCTATGCCTCTTCATAATTATATCGTATTTCATATATCACATATCAAGGTATTTCATGACCTAATAGTTTCATTTAACTTACTTACTATAGTGTGATATGATGTGAGTGAAGAAATAATAATATTTTCGTTGTGTCTTTAGAATAACTACAAATGTCTTATATGTTTACTGTGTATTCAAATATTGCCTGTTTTGCATACAGACAACGTTCTGCAAGACAAAAAGGTGTTCTTTCGTCAGTTTCCTCACCAAGAATTCACGTTACCGCTAGTAGCACTGACACGGGTGTAAGAATGGAGAACGCACCTGACTCAACAAATCCTAACACTGATATTGTTCTGAGCGGAAATGATAATCATGCGTAAGTAATGCCTGTCAAACTATTACTCGATATATCAACGTCTTTAGCTCTTCGGTTTACCGCTTTATCTTTCGTATCTTTTTCAGAATGGGAAATACTTTTCTGATAACCAATCGTTTCGCATAATATAATATTCCTTGGTCAAAACGAGGGCAGTAAAAGTGGAGAATTTGTGAAATTTGAATGAATTTTCGTTTAAATTTCTACATCGTTTTAAACAGATATGCAATGGCAGTAGATCCGTTTGGAATGCCAATCACTTCCAGACCATCCGAAAATATCAACGCGACCTCTACTTATGCAACCATAGGTAATACGGTCGCAACTGGAAGTAATTTTCCTATACCAAGGTATTCTAAAGCATTGCTGGAAACTTAGATAACACGCAATATTTTAAAATATATAGCAATAATTCTTTCCAATGGATATATATATAAACGAAATTTTCAAATTCTGCAGTGCAAAGCGTCATCATTTTGGCCTCTTAGTTTAGTAGCTCGTTTGGTAAATCCTGTTTGTTGATCGGGATGGGTGAATTAGTAGTTTATCTATTGAAAGATTTTCGATTTGAGATACCGATTTAGAAATTTTACGGCACAAATGTTAATGCAAATCGACAAAACTTAGATTAGAAACCCGTAATAAAATGTCTTTTTGATACCCAGTACTGTGGTGTTTCATTTCTGCAGAAAAACAGAATTAATTGAAGTTTACAATCACTGCTTTCCCATCAAATATTACATGAAGTCAAAGTGTTTCTGACTTGCTCGTTAAAACTGATCTGTTATTTTTCAGTGACAATGGTCCGATGTACGACATACCGACCAACAACCGCGAGAGGGCACCAACAGCTATATCATCAACAAGCAATCCTACAGACCCCTATTACCAAATACCGAGTGGGAGAATTCCCGACAAAAATCCTCCAAGTTCAAATGTTAAAGATGTTTATGCCATTGTTCGCAAAGACAAATAGACTAGAAACTAATTACTTGGATCAACGACGATTCCTCAATACTAAAAACTATTCAATATTATTGTATGCTTTCCTAATTAATCTGAGTTGCTGTTTACTTTATTCACAGAAAAAAACAAATAAAAAACAGTTGCTTCATATGCCATATATCGACGACGATCAAACCGCGGCTCGCGAGAGTTTTTAAGCGGCTCTTCGGCTTCGCGCTAGCATTAATTAATATCCGAATTGAACTAAGAGAAACTGAAGTATAAATTTTTTTTTTAAATTCATCAAAAAGCAGAATAAGTTTTTATCAATGCATACGACAAATTATGGGAAGTAAACGGGAAGAAGAATACGCATTCACTAGTCGAGAAAATAAACTTCTCTGTTTAATCTCTCATATGTTGCTAAGTCAAAATAAAGTCAGCAACGTTGAACGTCACCATGAAACGAATCACAAAAACTTCGTACGAGACTACCCTCGTAAATCGTAAGCCTCGTAAGGAAACACAGATTAAATGACTTTAAATTATTACTAGAAAGACAGCAGAAATTTATGATATCATTTGGCAACGAATCTTATGCATCAACTGAAGCTAGTTTTGTCATAACATGGAATATTGCTCGGGCTAAACACCCGTTCTCTGGCTATGATTTATGAAAAAATAAATATTGCTGATGTTGTCACAGTCAATAGTCCAAACGCCGGTTTCGCGTCGCACTATACAAAGGCGCATCTCCCAAATTTGTATCAATGTAACAGTTACAATGCACAATCATTTGTTGAGCTCTAATATTATTCATTTCAAAAATTATGCGGCTCTCACATATTTCTGATTTGCTGCATGCGGCTCAAAAAATTTATTTGATCACCCCTGTAGTAGTATATATTTACGGTCATATATATTCGACCTGGATTTTTTTCGGTAGTTATGTCTTCGAAATTATTTACCTCTGTATGTACATATACTCCAACACGATTCATTGCACAACCTTATCCTTGCAGAGTAGTATTTTTGTCTAGGAAGTGAAAATGAGCAAAAAAAATGAGTTTTTACGAAAACAAAAACCTTGCATACAAGTATGCAGACGGAAGACTATCATATCCACAATCATTGGCAAATGATGTGATGAAGTACCGTGCCAATTTAAGACATGATGTGAGTGATCCGAATAAACTAAAATATATCTTTAAAAATGCTTGATGTTGCACGTTGTAGTGGACATGCAACACGGTTATTTGCTCCGTATTTTGAGTCAAGTTTAGGTATAGATATCAGTTCGGAACAGATTGAAGTTGCAAGGGAACTGACAAAGACAACTGATGAAAATGTTTCATATAAAGTTGTGACGAATGATGTGTTCCCCGTTGAAAATGATGCGTAGATTTCGGTAACTGTGCCACAGCTGCTCATTGGCTGGATATGCCCAATTTGAAAATGAATGCAATCGGGTCTTAAAACCAAACGGTTGTGTTGCGATTTATACTTACTTTTTTGCGTCAGTCAGACGACCTAAATCTACTAGAGCAGCGAACCAAAGTCAATCGGACCTACAATGCCAAAGTCTTATGCGTGATTACATCAGGGATATTCGTGGACATCCAAGAAATAATCTTTGGCTCGAAGAATATCGATGGCTTTTTGAGAAAATTTCAAATAAAAGCAAAAGATGGCTCAATGGAATCGAATATGACGTGGAATGGAGTTTTGCTCAGTTGAGAAAATGTTGGGCAAGCAAAGGGGAATATTATAAACTTATGAGTGAAGAAAATCCAGAAATCGACCCACTTGACGTATTTTTAAATAATATAAAACAACTACTGAATATGGAAAATCAGGAAAATGAAGATACCGCGTTTGATATAACGTGGAGATTTCCCTGTATTGTATTTACCAAGGCGTAATATTGATACGAAGTGCTAAAAACGAATATTGATTCGAAGTGCTAAAAATAATGCACCAACATCACAACAAAAAACTCCCTCCTGCATTCACTAATTATTTTATGAAGCAGAGTGATGTTCACTCATATGGAACAAGGTCCTCGACCAGTTGCTCATATTTTTTGAATCGTTTTTCTACCAAACTAACCCAACGCTCAATCAAGTTCATTGGAGTAAAGTTATGGAATTTGCTTCCTGAAACAATTCGTACAAGTAACTATAATTCTTTTAAATGTAAATTGAAAACTTTATACCTTGAAGCTTATAGGTGCTAGCAGTCTAACTTATTCCGTTATAAGTAAGATTCCTGTACCCATCCATGTTCCTCTACTGAACAGCTGTATCCATTATTTTTTTTTTATGACAGCTGAATGCTGTACCTCTTTTGCTGGCTGTTTCATGTTTTACTATGTCATTTTTTGCCAACTTCTCATGTGCAATTTATATAGTGCATACCGGTACTTCACCTTACTGTGACGGAAACTCGTCGTCGTCTACTTTCCACATATAATAGCTATCAAATGGCAACCCAGTTGCTTGGGACGCTACTTCAGTCCTTTTTAGTGCTGGGTCGTATGACTCAGCATTATTTTATGTTTTGAATTCATCGATGCGCATCTTAAACACCAGATGTCGCTAATGAGCCTTCTTCTGAATGAATCGTACTGGCGGTTCTTGTAGTGTGGTTATTTACAATTAAATTTATTTCGAATCTATTGTCTTTCCATGATTTGTGCATTTTATTTCGGATCTATTGTTGTCTTTCCATGATTTTTGTATTTTTGAAGATAATTTTTCCTTTTTTGTTGTCGAATCCACTGTTGTCTTTCCATGATTTGTGTATTTTATTTCGAATCTATTGTTGTATTTCAATGATTTGTGTATTTCTGAAGATAAATTTTCGTTTTTTTTGTTGTTCTATATGCTTCATTGCTATATTTGCTGCTTTAATACAGCACCAAGGTGTCGCTGACTAGATGACTCATTGAGTCTATTCGCGACCCCGCGTCAATTGCAATGAATCAATGTTTTTCGTTTTTTCAATTTACTGTGTTTTCTTTTGCCTCATATTGATTCTTGCATGACGAAATAAAATATCTGAATCTGAATCTGAATCTGATACAGTGATACAATGTAAAAATTCAAACACGGAAAACAATGTTACAGTGCGTGATGTTTTGCGATCTCTGTTACACAGTTTCTAATCATTGTAAAATATTTTGAAACAGTCAAGTTCCAAGTAAAATACAATCATGATTTTATTGTACAGTATTTAAACAAATAGCAATGGAGTTGGCCGCGTTATCTTCAGCTTATTATAAATATATTATGTTATATGACATAATATCATCTGATCCTGCGATGTTCTCATTTCATGCTCTTGCATTTCATATTTATTGATCGTATATTTCTATGAAAAATTTCAGTCTATCGTCCTGAAAGATAAAATGAATTATCATAGAAATGACCAGCAAAAATGTTCCTCGTCAGTCGTCAGCCCGTCTAGTTGATTGCAGTAGCATTAGGCCTATCTATCAGATTTCTATCTATTGCAGTGTAGCTGCAAACAAATAAGTCGGTCGGGACACACATACTGTTTCGCAGAACGATGGCTGTAACGGTTTACGTGAACTCAACGGTTAATACAGGACTGGGTCTTTGACAAGTACATCCTCCGTTTTTGCACGGCACTTTCAAACAAGGCATAATTTTACCGGGAGAGTAGAAACACCCGTGGAAGCTTCTTGTAGGCCTCATTACTTATAAATCTTGATCGTGTATGTTGTTAGGTTTTTATCTGTTCGTTTGCCTGTTAGATAACGACGATATCTCACGAAAGCAAGATTGAATCTGCACCAAATTTTGCATGTGCATTCATCATATCTCGGAACAGAAGCCTGTTGATTTTGGAAGATAATTAGAGAGTTAATAATTAATTAGTGATGGAACACACGGTGTCGCTATGGAGTAATAACTTTCGATCGATAAGTCGTCGGTCTCTGACCGATATTCTCGTTAATATCTTTCACTGTATTGTCCTCTGCCTAATGTCATAGACACTATTCTCACTGAAGCCTTTTTCCTTTCGTTTGCCTATCAAAGTTAAATTTTTACCCATTGTATTTTGGCAGCAGAATTCCAACTCCCTCTTTTTTATTCTAAATTATCCAGTAGGTATTCACACCATGTCAAAATTATTGTATTGTTGCATTCATAATTTAACCAAAATTATTTTAAATTTCGGACAGAGCGTTGAAGCTTTGGAAAATACTGTCCAACTTAGTTCAATAGCCCGGCGAACGGTCCGTAACCCCAATGCATTTATACGCGCCCCAAACCTGTCTTGCTGCCTAAGACATACCAGCAATATTCAGCTCTGATATTGTTGTTTCAAATGGTAGTTTAATCTAAGTAAATCTTCAGTTAACAAATACAATCCAATAAAGCAACTATACAAAAATGGGGTGCGGTATATGACAATTGGCGTCTATCCAGTCAATAGTTCTACGATTGACAGATAAAGTATTTTAGCAAATTTACTGTGCGTGGTCCCGGTTTGATGTTCTTGTCGAAGGGACCTTGGTCTTGGCCAATAATAAAAGTCAGTGGACCACTGCATACCAGCGGTGATACGCAGGAGCTATATTAGTACCTCCCGATTTTTAAGAGAGGTACCTACTAATATTGATAACTGTATATGGGCCCTACTAACAAATACAGTAAATTTTTACGGCACAATTCAGACTTCTGCTAGTGTGACGTGGAACGCAGTTCGGAGAACAAGACAAGATAAAACCTGTCTGAGATAATTCAGATTGAGTTCTGGTATCTCCACAAAAATGTGGCTCATCATGAGAAGTATAAAATACATTTTCAGTTTATAAAACAAGTTTCACATAGCGTTAACTATTGAAAAAAAAATTAAAAGATATGTGCGTAATTTTAACATCGGTGTAAATACTTACTGATTAGATTTTCATTTGCCTGTAAACATGTGTTTTCATATAGTATTGTGTTATCGCTCAATGTCTTTTTGCAATAAGTTTGATACTACATAATGATATGTATTCGAGTAAACAGTTCCCGGAAGCATAAGAACTTTCAAGAACACAAAAAAAAGGTTTCATCTTCATTGTTTGGTCTTATAATACAAATTAATAAAACGTAGTTTCATGGTATTCATCTTGA